AGGTCTTACCAGAGTGGGGAATAAATACGCAAGGGCCTTGGGAAACAAACCCTAGGTGGGTCAAGATCGGGGGAGCTAACCCTCTGCTCCAATTAACTTTTTTTTAAAGATTTTATTCATTAATTCATGAGAAACACAGAGAAAGAGGCAGAGACGCAGGCAGAGGGAGAGAAGTAGGCTCCATGCAGGGAGCCCGATGTGGGACTCGATCCCTGAACTCCAAGATCACCCCCTGAGCCAAAAGCAGAGCTTAACCACTGAGCCATTCAGGCATCCCAGCTCCAATTAACTTCTGTAGACTTCCTAGAAGAAGAGAGCTTTTAGAGATATATAGATTCTGGCAATCATACAGTTGGTTAGGGGAACCTTTTTCTCCTAAGCTGCCAGGAAAACAAGGGGGAAAAAGCCCAAACAGCTTAAGTGGCCATTTCCTCCTGTTTATCCTGTCCTCCTGTTCTGTTCCTTTGAGATCTCTCACCACCATCTCCACTGTGCCCATATGAGATGGGGGAAGCAACACTTGAAAAACGGGAAATGAGAGGAAGGGGTATTTGTGGACCGTGATAGATGTGGAATCAGGGAGAGTCCTTGAGTCCCCAAGTCACTGCTAAACAAACAGACGGGCTCTGGCCCTCTTGGCTGAGCTGCGACTCTGAGCCAAGTTACTTCTGCTTTGGACTCACTTAACCTTTAATCTGGGGATCCCCACTCCTGTTACTGACATTAACTCCTCCAACTTCACAGCAACTTGAGGTTGTTGGGAAAAATAAACCAAAACACAAAAATCATATGATCCACTTGAGTTCAATGTGGTAAAATAAAAGTAATCCATAGCCAGAGTTTATTCTCTCATAATCGATCTTCACATTACTGAAGGGGAAACTGAGTCACAAAGCAAGGAAGTGATTTGATTTCATGGACACCAGTTTTTTACTTCATCAATGTAAATAATGTTCTTTTTAAAAAAAAAAAAAAAAGATGTTATTTATTTATGAGAGACACACAGAGAGAGGCAGAGGGACAAGCAGGCTCCATGCAGGGAGTCTGACGTGGGACTTGATCCCAGTACCCCAGAATCATGACCTGAACCGAAGGCAGATGCTTAACCACTGAGCAACCTAGGCACTCCTGTAAATAATATTCTAATGTGATAGTATTTCTCTTTCTGAAAGTTCTTATCATGGTTCATTTCACAGACAGGGATACTGAGGCACAGAGTGATCGAAAAGTACGCCACACAAAAGAGTGCCTGGATGAGACACTCAAGAACCCAAATTCTCAAAGCAAAATTCTTTTCCATTAGACTCACCCAAGTTTGAAACATGCAATTCACTCAAGGTTTGTGAAATTAGGTGAAAGAGATCCCTGGGTGGCGCAGCGGTTTGGCGCCTGCCTTTGGCCCAGGGCGCGATCCTGGAGACCTGGGATCGAGTCCCGCATCGGGCTCCCGGTGCATGGAGCCTGCTTCTCCCTCTGCCTGTGTCTCTGCCTCTCTCTCTCTCTCTCTCTGTGACTATCATAAAAAAAAAAAAAAATAAAAAAAAAAAAGAAAGTAGGTGATAAAGGCTATGAAGTTTGAGTTCTTGCTCTCAAGAACAGCGTGGGGTCTGGGGTGGTAGCAAGTGTAATCGTGACCCTTGACCTTCATAAAGAGTTCACAAGTGCTCCACAGCTGCTGAACAGAGTTCTCACCAAGGACATCGACAGCATCCCCCTTTGGCAGATGAGGAGGCCAAGGAGGCCAGGACTCATTCGATGGCTTGTTGGAGGACACAGCAAAGCACAGAACTGGGAGTGAGAACACCCTTTGGGGGAAAGAGGCCACCTGAGTTTTACTGGGAGACCGAGAGGAGATTAAAGGAGGTAGGAAGAAGCTAGTCTCAGCTGGTATGTTGGCCAAGAAGGAAATTATCCAGCATTTGAAATGATGGCACAGAACTGCTCTGGGCACTGAGGAATCCACTGCAGCTCTTCCTCTGAGAGCCTGCCATCTAAGACACCCAGAATAAATACGTGCATTCTATATCGATGGCATCTACTGCAGTTGATCCACCACAGTAACCTACTACATATACATGGCCAGGTAAATTTGGGATGTGGAGAATATAAGTGCATAACTAAAAATGGGAACAATAAGAAAAGCAAGCCAGGCAAGGAAGAAACACACACACACACCCCTACCTCAATCCAGGAAAGGTTTTCCAGAAGAAAAATAAACTTTAAAAAAAAATGTATTTATTTGAGAGAGGGAGAGAGAGCACAAGCAGAGGGAGGCACAGACTCCCCACTGAGCAGGGAGTCCAATGTGGGGCTCAGTCTTAGGACCCTGGGATTGTGACCTGAGCCAAAGGCAGACACTTCACTAACTGAGCCACACAGGTTGCCCAGAAGAAATATAAATTTTAGGAGTTCTTTTTCTTCTCTCTTTTTTAAAGTTAAGAAGCAATGGAGTAGCTGTGTTATGGCAAGAGCAGAGCTGAGACTGAGATTTTTTTTTTAAGATGTTTATTTATTCATGAGAGACAGAGAGAGAGAGAGAGAGAGAGAGAGAGAGAGGCAGAGGGAGAAGCAGACTCCATGCAGGGAGTCTGACATGGGGGACTCGATCCCGGATCCCCAGGATCACACCCTGGGCTGAAGGTGGCACTAAACCGCTGAGCCACCCAGGCTGCCCGAGACTGAGATTTAGAACAGAACCTAATTCCATCACATGCAGTAATTGCAAAGACGGGTGAGAAGGGTGGCAGAGCACAGTGGCAGTGGACAGAGGGTCTGGAGCAAGTGGAGATTCAAGAGATTACAACCTGTCTTGACTCCTAGACTATGCCTAGGCGTTCCCACCCTCATGCTTTCAGAAAGCTCATGCTGTCTGTATTTCAGTAGCAAGAACCTCCACATTGGGGAAGCCTATCTGGAGCAGATGAAGGCAGCAGTGCCATGAGGAAGGAGAGGACAGGGACCTTGAGTGCACTGGACAAGGAGTCCCTAACCATCCCAATCTTCCCAGATTGTACCACCATGGGAGAGGTTCCCAATGCAAAACTTATTCATCTGGACCCAGTAATTCTTAGGGAATTCCCAGTTTGCTTTATCAAACGCAAAGTTGCCTATTGAGTTTGAGGCCAGTGATTGGATTCTTAATGTAAAAACTGTATTGAGCTCTGCTGGTACATTAACACGACTCGATACATTAATTCAGACCCCAGCCAGGTGGAGACACCTGTTTACCTCTGTTAACAGTCTTTACTTACACAAGTCATGCTTTGTGGCCCTAATTAGTCAGAGAAGCAGCAGCAGTAGAGAACCACTAGGAGACAGGGGCGAAGAATATGCCAAGGGTCCAAGGCTCTGGTTGCTGGTCCTTTGTAAAACACAGGGTCCCTGGAAGCAAAGTGCTGGCTCCAACCATAACAAGTCAAGCCCTGAGCCAAAGGTTAGCAATTTCAAACTTTCAGAGGAAGCTGCTCCTTCTTGATCACCCTGGTTTCTGAACTGACTCATCAAGATCTGCATGGGTGGTATGAGAATTCAAGGACTTTTATAATGATTCTTTTGATTATTTTTGCTAATATCTGTTCATTTTCCGTATTTACAATGTGCTCTTCCCTTTTAACCACTCTACATGTATTAATGGGTTTCATACAACCACATGAGCAGGTACTATAGGAACTGATACAGAGAGGTCAAGCAATTTAATGGGGTCACACAACAATTAACTGAAGGCAGGAGGATCCATTTGCATCATTCAGCTAAATCCCAGTATTTTAACAAGAATGTTCAACCAGGGGCACCTGAGTGGCTCAGTCCATTAAACATCTGCCTTTGGCTCAGGTCATGGTCCCCAGGTCCTGGGATCAAGTCCAGCGTGGGTGGGCTGCGTCTCCCTCCCCCTCTGCCTGCCCTGCCGCCTGCTTATGCGCCCTGTCAAATAAAATCTTTTAAAAATCTTTCCAAAAGATGTTCATCCACACACGTGATATTTACACAGAATGCACTAGTGGTTCGAGGCACTATATGCATAAGATACAAAGGACACCGAAGACTTCCTACCAGGCTCACTGCACAGTTGTGGATGCCGGTAATCCTCTATGGCACTAAAATGGTGCTCATTTTATTCACCTACATTGTATTGTTTTCTAACCGGAAAAGCCCCTACATCCCTGATTCCATTATCCTTTCTTTTTCACACAAGGACAGCTTGAAGTGCAGAGGGGACGACCATTATTAGTTAATGGTTACTAGCTAAGCCATCAGCAGCTAGAGAGCGGCCAGTGGAAGCAGCACGGACGGGGGGTACGGGGGGGGGGGCCTCCCGCACCGGCCGCGGCCTCGGGCGGGACCGGTGCCCCCGGGGCCCCGCCAGCCCTTCAAGGCGGCGGCTCCTCCCCGCCCTCCAGGTAGGCTGGTGCCCCGGGCTCCGCTGGGCCTGCGGAGGGGGAGGGGGCCGTGGCTGCGGGCGCCCCCCGCCCCCCCGCCGGGCTCCGGGCAAGGACCTGGCCCTGGCGACCGCCCGCGCGGAGAACACAGCAGAAGGAAAGGATGTTTTCGAGCGACCCAGGGAGAAGGCAAGTCAACTGCTGCTGGGTCTGCACGCAGGAACGGGGGACACACACGGAGAGGGCTCGGGCGGCGCGGCCGGGTCCCGGGGCACCTGCGGCGCCGCTCCCCCAGCGCGGAAGGCCCTCGGGGCGCAGAGCGCTGCGACGTCCGCGGAGGTGGGCGACTAGAGGGCCCGGGCGCGGCGGCCCCCCGGCCTCCAGCCCGCCGTCGGGGCCACACCGCCGTCCGCGAGCGTGCGTGACGTCCCCCGCGGCGTGACGTAGCGCGGCGCCGGCGGGGGAAGCGCAGGGGCGGGGGCGGGGACCGGGCGGCGGAAGTCGGCCTCTGCGGCGAGGAGGAGCAGGCCGGGGGCGCGTCCCAGGCGGGGAACCCAGCGGACGGCCCCGCCCCTGGCCATGGGCGGAAGTGACGACAGCGGCCGCGGAGGTCACTTCCTGCTAGGGTGGATGAGGAGGAGCCGGAGACGCCGCGGAGACCGGAGCGAAGACGGGCCGCGCCGGGGAAAGGTGAGTCGCGGCTTCGTCGCCGGCCCCTCCGGGGTCGGCCCCTGGCCTCGCGGGCGGCGTCCCCGGGGTCGGGCCGCCTCCCGGGCCGGCCGGGCCACGGGCAGCGCGGGGGCGGGCGGGCCACGGGTGTGCGAGGGGCGGCGGGGACCCGGGACGCGTTCGTGCAGTGGCTGCGCGGGGCCCCGGAGCGAGGCCGGCCCGGCGGGAGGCAGCAGGGAGGGAGGCTCCGGGCGCTGGGAGCCGGGCCGCAGGCCGCCGCGGGGCAGCCACAGCGCCGGCCTCGGCGCGCCTCGCCCTCGCGGGAGCGGCTGCGAACTGAGAAAGGGCGAGGGCCCGGGGGGGGGGTTGCAGACTCGAGGCGAGCGGCCTCGCGGTGAATTTGCGGGCGGCGCGGACAGGCGCCTGCGGGCCCCGGCGAGGGACCGATCGGGGAGCCGGGGCGTCGAGAGGAAGCTTCCTGGTCCAGTCCTGCCGCGGCGCGGTCCGGACCCCGGGGTCGTGCGCTTGGAGGGCACTCCCGCGGCGGAGTGGAGGCCCCGCATTCCGACGGAGCCATCGGGCGGTTTCCCGAGCGGCGGGGAGCTCGAGGTGGGAGCAGCCAGCGCAGGAAGCTCCTGCCCGGGCTCGAGGCCTTGTGATTGTGCGTCTTGTGTCTGGGACTGCGTGTCTCTGTGTGCGTCTGTTTTCTTCTTCCTTTGGGCTGTTTATGTCGTCCTCATAGTTTTATAGACAAACTCGCTGATTATCTTAATGTATATGGTGAGAAAAAAGGCTCTAAGGATCTAGAGGAATCCGAGGTTAGATGAAACGTCCAAGATTAGGAATTTGCCCCCACCCCAGCCTGAGGCCACTGAGGCACCTACATTCCGTCCAGGAGCGCTCTCGCTAATGTGGGTGCTGCGGCCCTGTCATCCACCCTAGGGAACAGTGAGCTTAGATCTGCCCTCTCCTGCCCGCCTCTCCCTCCGTTTTTGCTAAAGGATTGACTGATACAAAGCTGCTTGCTGCCAGGAACAGGAAATTTATTGAGGAACTGTAAATCTGGATGGAATGAATTCAGATCACAGCAAGACTCCCTGCACTTTTTGAACAGAAGGTTCTCAGAAATGCCTGCCTTTTTTTTTCCTTCCTGTTAAAAGGAGAAAATGTAAAAGTATTTCTCAAAGTAATGTAACTGTACATGTGATCTGTTTACTTCCTGTATCCCACGGTGTTTTTCATGGAGGAGGGGATTCGTTTCTGACTTGGAGGAGTTTTCCTTCTCTGATCTCGTGTAATTCAGCAGAAGAAATCAAAATCATATGTTTTCTTGAGTTGCCATCAGATGGACTTGGATTTTTTTTTTTCCACTCTTTTAAAACTGGCACATCTGGGTGAACTCAGGCATGTGTGTCTTGGCATCTGGGCCTGTCTAGTAATAGACAGGCTTGTTTGGCTTGTTTTGGCTCCCTTTGTGGACCCATTTCACTGCGCTCTTCCTTTCTTACATCTAAAGGGCTAGTCAGGAGGAAGAAAGCAAATATTAAGGACAGTGTTTACACTTTGTGGTTTAAAGTCAGGTGAGAGATAATTATGGCCCTTGAAGCTGATGACCCTGAGGACCATCATTTGATGACTTGAGGATTAGCAGTTTGGAGGTGACATATTTGAAAGAAAGAGGGTTACATAAGGAGGGAAAGGAAGTTTGGGGAAAGGTTGTGCGAGAAAACCTTGGGAGGAGAATGAGTAAATAAATAGCACCTTAAAGTAATTGATGTGGGTTCTGTCTCTCAGCAGGAGGGCGAAAATGAAAGCAGGCTGTAGCATCGTGGAAAAGCCAGAAGGAGGTGGAGGTGAGCAGAAGTTAATCATCTCTGATGTACCAGGAATGTCCCTCAGGGGTTCCTTTTCTCTCCACTTGGGCTCTGTTCACAAATGTCAGTCCATGACTAGACAGCCTCTTGACTGGGTGGATACAGCTAGCACAGTTGGAGGCTTGTTTCTTATGGATGTATATTTAACATGTCACCACACCTTTATCCCAAGCTTTAGAGTCTCCTCCCTGTTAGAAACACAGTTCCACCCTCAGGGGTAAGGAGTTTTCAGCTTTATTTCCCTAAAATGTTAGTTCATTTTTCCTGTTTGTTTCTGTTGGAACGTTCCTGCCCTTGTGGAAAGTAGGTGTAAGATTTAGTAATGCAGGAAAGAGTGAGACATTGGCACACCTGGGTGCTGCTGTCCAGCTCTAGCAGATCAAATGATTGCCACAAGAAAGGTGACATTTCTCTGCTTTCCTCTCCCTGTTGTGGTTAGCCCTGGCTGACCGAAGAGGTGTTTATGACATGTTTGCAGAGCACTCTAGGGATTCTGAGCATTGGAATGTGAAGTCAGGGATCCTGATATGTATGCATCTAACTCCTGACTGCCTTCATCTTGCCCTTTTCACATTAAAGGGTATCAATTTCCTGATTGGGCCTATAAAACAGAGTCATCCCCGGGCTCCCGGCAGATCCAGCTGTGGCACTTCATCCTGGAGCTGCTGCAGAAGGAGGAGTTCCGCCATGTCATCGCCTGGCAGCAGGGAGAGTATGGGGAGTTTGTCATCAAGGATCCAGATGAGGTGGCCCGCCTCTGGGGCCGTAGGAAGTGCAAACCCCAGATGAATTATGACAAGCTGAGCCGGGCCCTCAGGTGAGAGGAAAGGATTCCCAGACCCACGGTGTTAACAGACCAGAGGGAGACTAAGCATTTGGGGTGAATGTTGGGTTGAAAGGGTATCAGGTGGTAAGAGACTGCACTAAGTGAATAACGTATAGCTTAGCGGGAGTCGAAGAGCTGCTGAATCTGACTAGCATAGATCCAGGAGGAAAAGCATATCTTTGGATATATGGAGGAGGGAATTCCAGCGTGGTTGGCATTGCGTCCTGACAGACAATTGATTCTACTCTATAGTGGGCGAGGGTGTGTGGTGAAACATGGATTGGAGCTTGTTTATAATCTAGAAGATTAGTTTAGACTTTCCTGTTGGAAATCTGTTAGAATTTCTCTCTTTAGGCTCTTCTGGAAGAAAGTGGGCAAAGTGAAGCAAGCCAAGCACACAGGAGGAGGGCTCATTGAATGGTTCTGACCTCACTGTTCAGGAACCATATCTGTGAGCTCAGTTGTCAGTCCAAAGGTTGCTCTGACACGTCTAAAAATTGACCACTTAAGGTTTTCTCGAGTTCTTTTTCCCCCCTTGTCAGTTTTTACATTTCATAACCTGTTTGCCCTCTAGGGGCCAGGAGGCCATTTGTAAGGGGTGCTGCTGAATAGATGCCAGGCCAGAGGATCTAGGTCCACCAGAGTCCCCTGCCTCTCTTCATTCTTAGTGACCTTGAATGTCAGATCCGGGCGGCAGCTGTGCCGGAGCCTCTCACACCTTGTGAAAATGAAGCAGGCCAGGCTGCCTGCTGTTTTTCAGATTGGGGTATATAATTGACCTGCCACCACAAAACAGTTCTGTGTTTCTTTGTGCTCAGGCCTCTGGACCTACCATATCAGGTCTCCCAAGAGACTTGTCTGCCCCCACCTGGGCAGGACAGTGACACACAGGGAAACAGGAAGGAAATGGATTATGGAATTGAAACTGTAGAGTGATGGAGGAGAAGGGCAATTGGGGCTAGGATAGGTGTTTAGGATCTCAAAGTGAGATTGTCTTTGTAAAGCTCCAGCCAAGGACTCGAACTTAGTGTGAAAATTGAATAAGTCTCCCAGCCCTAACATGAAGGCCAGGCTGTCAAAGAATGATACTAAGAGCACAGAACTGTAGATCTCAGTGGTTACCTAAATGTATCAAAAATTGTCAGTAAAAAAAAAAATTGTCAGTAGCCAGAAGATAAATTGACACATGTTCCTATTTTTACAGATACTATTACAACAAGAGGATCCTTCATAAGACAAAAGGGAAAAGGTTTACTTATAAATTTAACTTCAACAAGCTGGTGATGCCCAACTACCCATTCATCAACATTCGGTCAAGTGGTAAGAAGCTAATTCTTTTGGTGGGGAATGAATTTTTTGAGTTGAGAAAGAACTTCAAAAACCCAAGTCTGAGACCTAGCATGTTGAAGAATTTTTAGAAACACTAGAGTCATAGGGATTGCCCCCAGGGTCCTGCTCAGGTTTCTCTGCCCCATATGGGAAGTGACAGGCTCTGCTATGTCAAGAGATTTGTTTAGTTGTTTATTTGGTTTTCTTTTGTGCATATTATTGGTGTCTCCCAGGTATTTTTCCCTGTCCTCTTTAGGAATTATGTTCCATAGGTTCGTGTTCAGCTTTCAGTTCAGAACTCACAGCGTTAACACCCTGCCCGGCACCCTACACCCTGCCCGGCGGCTCTTTCATAGACAAGAACCTGTTTCTACAAACACTTCCGAATTTCTATGAAACTACCAAGCTCTCCCTTATCAAGTGAATATCATCAAAACCACAGCATCCTTAATCACAGAAGGGGAGGTTCATATGTTTGCAGTGAAAAGCAGCATCTTTGATCTGTACCAACACCTCCTCAGAGTAAGATCTGGGGTTACTTGACCTTCTTTACTCTTAAGGGCAGCCAGGCTTCCTTTCAGGCTCTCCACAGATAGCTTGCCATCCCAGCTCCTCACAAAGGTATGAGATCAGCCTCTGTCCAGTCTCCTAGAAGGATTTTGGTTTTGTTTCGTTTCAGAGGCAAGACCTCTCCCTCCATAAGAATATACGTTATATTTAACTAGTTTCCGACCAGTCCATTGGTACTCTTGTTTTTGTGTTATTGTGTGTTAAGGCCAAGAAATCTGATTGTGATGCTGCAATATTCTAACTTCTCAGAGAAAAGTTGTGGAGGAAACTTGAAAAAATCAGAGCGGGGGTGTGGCTGAGAATATAATGCTGAGATCCACTGCAGATAGGTAATTAACTACACACAACAAGTTAGGGCAGTTTGGGCTTGATGCTGCTATCGGTACAGTTCCATCTCTTCTATAGCCACTCCCTCCTGTCCCTGGGGCATGCATTAAAAAAAATGGTATTGGAATGCATCTCTCTAATTACAACCTGTTTTCTTTCCTTGTGCCTGAGGGAGAGGTGTTAGGAAATCAGACCTATTCTAGCCACTGGAATCTCGTTTCCTCTAGTTTTCATTCTGGCCCCCTTCCTGTGTACCTAAAGGAATTGGGACTCTACATGGGTATACCAGCAATTTTGAAGAACATGTTGGTGTTCATACCACTACCCCCTGCCCCAAAAAGGATTTCATTGGTTTGGTTCTATGTCTTTAACCCCTTTTCGTCTGTTAAACCCAGAAGTCCAGCCACTTTGGCAGCCTGGAACAGGGCATGCCCATCAGCCCTTGGTAGTAACATGCCCTTCCAGGGGGAGAAAACCTGGATCCTCACTCTGGGAAGACTCTGGTCTGCTAGCCTAATGGTAATGGCCTAGCACAGCCTGGTCTGCCTGAAAGCAGTGGGACCATCATTGATCCTTAACAAAGCTCAAGGTCCTAAAGGAATGAAGTCATAGGGAAAACAGAACAGTGTGCATTTCGTTTAGATATATACTTGGTTGCTCACATCCTAGGTACAGATAACCCCAAAGAGTCGTTAGTTCATAAAGAACTTTGATGCAAAGAGGCCAGGTGTTATTTTGGGTTTAACTTTTATGATGACAAGGAAACATAACATTTATTGAGCATCTACTTCATGGAGGTACTTTTGCTTGGTGTTTTTGTGAGTTACCACATTCAACTTTCCCAGCCTGCTATAAAGTGTGTGTCTCAATATTCACATTTTGCAAATGAGAAAATTATGGAGAATAGCTAAACCAAAGATTGACATGGGCAGGCTGAGTCCAGTTACCTGCTGAATGGTTTCTCAGGAAGCCATTTCTGAGAGACGAAGCTTTTGAAACCTGGCTTTTATTGAATAGGTCATACATTCCTACCCTGAATTAGGATTCCTTCATTTGCTCCACAGATTATGTGTTAAGTCCTAAAGACAAAAAGAAAAGATTATGGAGGAGTTCTTTCCCTCAAGGAACTTAAAATTTAGCAGGAGAGATAAGATAGATGAGGTTTAGCACAATTCTAAATAACTGTGGAATGTGACAAGCTCTCTAAGTAACAGAGCTGTTGTGGATTTTGATTCTGGAGGTCAGAGAGATTATGTGTAGATGATGGTGATACTTACCCAAATAATTCAGAGGTTTATAGTAAAAAGTACAATGAGTGCTCTCCCTTCCTCCCCTACCGTCTTCCTCACTGTCAAAGTTTAGGGTAGAATGCATTTGAATGGTATGGAAGATACTAGGTATTTCGTTTTTATTCTTAAAAGCATGTTGTAAAATATATATATATATATTTTAACATTTATTAGGATAAGAAACATTGGGAAAATACAGAAGATACTAGGAAAAGTGCTTACCTGGCAGGGCAGGACCGGCCAGCTCAGGAATGGGTTCGACACCTCTCTCTCTCTGCCTCCCCACCGCCACCCTGGTGTTTTATATTTCTCTTTATTTTGGAAGACTTTAAATCTATAGAAAAATGGGAAAGAATAGAACTGTGAACATCCATGTGCCCTCTCTAGATTCACTAATGATTGGCATTGTTGATACATGTGTTTTTCTCTCTTATATATGCTTTCTAAGTTTTTTTGAGGTTAAGTTTCAGATATCATGACATTTCTCCCCTGTGTACTTCCGCACATATTCCCTAACTACAAAGACATTCTCATCCATGACCTCAGTAACATTAATACACCCGGGAAATTTAACATGGCTCTACTATTCGTGTCTAACATATGGTACATATTCAAATGGTATGTGCCTTTTATAGTTTTTGTTTTTAAATTGTGTTTATTGTGTAATAAAAAATTACTTGTTTTAATAAATACCTAACATGAAATTTGCTGAGTGTCAGTACTATTCTAAGGCCTTTATAAAAATACTAACCATTTTAGTTTTTATATCATGAGTATTAGTCCTATTGCTATCCATTTTACAGGTAAGGAAAATGAGGCACAGAAAGGTAAGTAAATTATCCAGAGTCACCCAGCTAATAAGTGGTAGAGCCAGGGTTTGAACCTAGGCAGAGGTCTTGTTATTTCCATTTTGCCAAAGGAGGGTCAGAAGCCAGTTGGTTACAGGCCTTAGGGTAGAAGGTGCCAGAACTGAGATTCAAACCCAGATTTTCTAACCTTGCTACTCAGATTTCATAGTGGCTCCTTGAAGGTGGTTGTCTTCCAAAGCAGTGTTATTCAAAGTTGTTGAAGCAGGAAGCTTACTTTTTCAAACAACATTTTAGATTCAGATTTATTCTCTTAACATATCCCATGTAACAGTAGAGCTGCTGTACTTCCTCAGAGATGAGGGTCCAGCGTGTTCCCTCCAGCACTGCTCATAGGTTACACCATTCCTAAGTTCATTTAGAAAGTGCTGTGTGTTCTGTGTTCTTACAGAATTACAGTGTATCTTAACCTGTGTAAAGAAGGAAATACCCTCTAGTTTGAAAAAACAAAACTAGGGGTGCCTGGGTGACTCAGTCAGTTGAGCGTCTACCTTTGGCTGAGGTCATGATCTCGGTCGGGATCGTGGGATCGAGCCCCACGTTGGGCTGTCTGCTTTTCAGGGAGCTTCCTTCTCCCTCTCCCTGCCGCTCTGCCTGCTTGTGATCTCTCATTCTCTGTCAAATAAGTAAATTTTTAAATCTTAAAAAAAAATCTAGCTTGTTCAGGAGACAGGACCCTCCCTGCCCCTACTCCATTATGCTCCTATAGTCCTTCAGAACACATTGAAAATGCTTTCTTGCTTTTCAAGAGATATGCTCTTAATATAAAAACAAGACCCAAATGTATCAAAAATGATAGAATTTTAGCCGCTGTAATACACTGCTAGAAGAGATATTCTTGGCCTATAGAAAAAGGAGAAAGAATGGAACTGTGAACATCCGTGTGCCCTCTCTAGATTCACTAATGATTGGCATTGTTGATACATGTGTTTTTTTCTTTTATATATGCTAAGGTTTTTTTTTTTTTTTTTTTTGAGGTTAAGTTGAAGTGATGTGTCATTTTAAGATCAAGTCATGGGCTTTAGGGGGACAAAGCCCTGCAGAGCAGTTTCTGTGGAATTTCACTTCGGACGTGCTGCTCTGGCCGTGTCCTTCAGTCGCATGTGCCTCCAAAACCACAGTGTACATAGCAGCCGACTCCAGAGACCTGGCTGAGGGTGCCCATTACCCCAGAAATCAAAGGAGGCTGCTGATAGGGGCAGTCCCTAGCCATACCAGGCTTCATACCCTCTAGGGTTTTCTTATTTTTCCTTCTCCCTTATTTCTGTCTCAGAGTATAAAGAGCTCTCCTGACAACATCACTAATCGTAAGTCACCGGTATGTCCCAGGAACCCAGAGGGGCTCTAAGGCCCCTGATGGCACACCTTTTGGGGTGGGTTTTTTTGTTTTGTGTTGTTTAGATTTTTTTTATTTGAGAGAGAAAGAGCACAAGCAGGGGGGAGGGGCAGAGGAAGAGGCGAATAAGCAGGGAGCCTGTCATGGGACTCAGTCCCAGGACCCTAAGATCATGACCTGAGCTGAAAGCAGATGTTTCACCAACTGAGCCACCCAGGCGCCCCTGAGGGCACACCTTTCTTATTCCTTGTTTATAAAAGGACCTTTTGGGGGAGTGGAGAAGCTGTGGGCCTCTGAATTTAACATGTTTAGTGTGGTTTTGATTTCTTCTGCGATTCAAGTATCAGTTTTAGCAGGCAGACTTGGGAGAGGGAGTAAGGGGGAAGGGGTCCAGCTTCCTCGGCGCCTGAGGAGCACTTAAAGTTAAATGGGAGTGGAGATCACTATATAGAATTTGTTAGAGGAAAACAAATTTAGAGATCGAAAAATATTTGGATCTGTGGTGATTTTATATCAGAAATGATAAAAGGTCTACCATAACAACTTACTCTCATAAATCTATGGCCTTTTCTTTTTTAATCTGTTTCTGTTGTTAAGCGTGGTCTTGTTTGTGTCCGTGAATGTGAGGTGCAGTCTTTGGGCTTTTAGTGCATTGCTTTACGTGGCGTGTCATTTCCAGTGTTATTTGTGTTTGGTTTGTTTGCTTGCTTGATAGATAAAGCCAAAACCATGAAAATAAAAAAAGACTGTTTACCAAGCTAAGAATTGCAAGAGGTGAGGTATGCACGGTATTTAGGATTGGAGAGGAAGAGAAGGCTAGTGTGCCCATCCATCCATTCAGCTAATCTGTCCGGAGCACCCGCTAGTTGTTAACCACGAACTGCTTTACAACTAGTTGTGAACAGTAGTAGGAAGTCCCCACCTTCATGGAACTGATGGTGTAGAGTACAGACGAACAGGTATAAGGTATCTCAGGCAGCACAGAATGCCGTGAAGTAGAGTGGGCAGAGACTGGGGAGAGATGGCAGCCAGCTTGGGGAGAGGAAGCTGAGCGGGAGCTCTGGAAAGATGGGGCGCGGAGGGATCCAGTGTGGCTGGAGCATTTGCTTCCTGTCGTATTGAGATGGGAACATCTTGGACTCACTGTAGCAGAAGTAAGTGTGCTGACCATGAGTGACCAGTCTTCTAAAGTGGCTTCGTCTTCTCCACCTTCACAGGTGTGGTTCCCCAGAGTGCGCCACCAGTGCCAACCGCCTCTTCCCGGTTCCATTTCCCACCTCTGGACACACATTCTCCAACTAGTGATGTGCAGCCGGGGCGGTTCTCTGCCAGCTCCCTAACTGCTTCTGGCCAGGAGTCGGGTAACAGCACTGATAGAAAGGCAGAGCTTCCGGAGTTGGAGGATGGCTCCACCACCGACTGGCGCCGGGGCGTGGATCTTCTGTCCTCCCGGAGTGCCGTTGGTGGAGGGATTGGCCATCAGAAACGCAAGCCCGACATAATGCTTCCTCTGTTCACCAGGCCAGGGATGTACCCTGACCCCCACAGTCCCTTTGCTGTCTCTCCGCTCCCTGGCCGTGGAGGTGTTCTGAACGTTCCCCTCTCACCGGCCCTGTCCCTGACCCCCACCATCTTCTCCTACAGCCCGTCCCCAGGCCTGAGCCCCTTCACCAGCAGCAGCTGCTTCTCCTTCAACCCTGAGGAAATGAAACACTACCTTCATTCTCAAGCCTGCTCCGTGTTCAACTACCATCTGAGTCCCCGGACATTTCCCCGTTACCCAGGACTCATGGTCCCGCCACTGCAGTGCCAAATGCACCCAGAGGAGTCGGCCCAGTTCTCCATCAAGCTGCAGCCGCCGCCAGCTGGGCGGAAGAACAGGGAGAGGGTAGAGAGCAGTGAGGAGTCAGCCCCTGTCACTGCTCCCACCATGGCTCCTGTCCCCCCAAGAATTAAGGTGGAGCCAGCCTCTGACAAGGATCCCGAGAGTCTCAGGCAGTTGGTGCGAGAGGAGGAGCGCTCCCATGGGGAGGGCGCTGTGCCAAGTAGGACCATAGATGAGGAGAAGGGCACTGTCTTTGCCCGCCCAGCTGCGCCAGTCTGGCCCTCTCTCTCCATGAGCACCCCAAGTGAGGAACCCCTGGAGGTGACTGAAGACAGTGAGGACAGGCCCAGCAGAGAACCCAGCGCACCTGAGAAGAAAGAAGATGCCCTGATGCCCCCCAAGCTCCGGTTGAAGCGGCGCTGGAATGATGACCCTGAAGCTCGAGAGCTGAGTAAGAACGGCAAGTTCCTCTGGAGTGGGTCAGGACCCCAGGGCTTGGCCGCGGCAGCTGCTGATGCTTAGAACTGGAAGTGGATCGGGAGCTGTTTATACTATAATCAAATGCATACATGTATTTATGTAGCGAGATTTCAGGGTCGGGGGAGGGGGGGAGGGGGGAGGGAATTAGACTGGTTTGATCATTTTAGGGGCATAGACTTGTATTTTTATGTTTGGGGGATGGGATGGGTATCTTCTGTTGTAAATTAGGTGGGATGTGAACACACTTTTTTCCTGGTGAGTAGCACATGGGAAGGGTCATGAACTGAAAGGAGGAAAGAGCCTCTGCTTTCTGGGGAGGCTTATACTTTCTGACAAACTCCCAGGGGGCCAGGGTTCCCTTGGTCCTGTTATAGTTCAGGTTCCAGACCTCTTTCTTTTCTATTGTATTTATCTATGAAAAGCCATTAATGAATTTCTTTTGCTCAGATTGAGAGAGGGAGAAAGGGGATAGGGTGTAGTGGGGAGGTTGAGCAGCGAGAGACCATGAACACAGAGTGTGTTGCCAGCAATGTTTCTGTGTAGTTCCTTCGGGAAGGAATAAGGTAATCTCAGTCTTACTGGGACAGGGGGATGTTCAGATGTTGCTTTTTTTTCTTTCTTCCTTTGTTGTTTGGCATTTTTTCCTTTCCTTTTTAAAAATCCATCTGCAGGAAACGAGCCACAGCGCCCGTCCCGGGGGCTGGGAGGCGGGAAGCCCTGCTGCAGGCTCCTTGGACTTTCCCCTCCTTCACCTGGTAAGAAGCCATGAGGAGTTGTAAGCTCTCATTCAGGGAAGAAAGAAGAGGGCAGGAGGAAGTAACCCAATGCCTTTAAAAACAAACACAAAAATGATCTTCATTTTTCCTTTTCCATTGTGAGTTTGGAAAGCCAAACCACGGTGTGACTGTGAGTTCACCGGACAGCACGACCCTGGAGATGTCTGCGTTGTGTCTGCTTCTCTGACCGTTTCCTAAGTCAAGCCTTAACAATGAACACACTTTCACGTGATACGGGTCTGTCAACATAAACCTGTAAAAGGGCACGGACAACTTTTCAGATGACCCAGGAATGTTGAAACATGGTTAAATTTCGAGCTGGTATTTAGTCCCCTCGTGACTTCATGAGGATGGGGAGCAGAAAGGTGGGATTTGTGGGAGCTCGGGGCAGATGTTACCTGGAAGCGCAGAAGGTAGCTGGGTTGCAAGTGGATGTTTGTCGAGGCTGAAAGCAGAGGTGGATAGAAGTAGAAGGCAGCCAGATGCCAGAGCCTGGTAGGAATGACAGAGTTGCTATCTGTCCTGTGGTGGTCATGGTGGTGCCATTCCTGCCGTACCCATTCCCCTAGATTGTTCTCATTCTCGTGATCAACTGACCATCCTACATGAGACTCCAGTTTACAGTGAGGAGCTGTTTCTCCATGGGAAAGCCCTTTCCCATCAGCACAAAGGGACAGGCAGGTATTGCTCTTGGGTGAAGCAAAAGGGGCCTGGGAGGGGGCAGAGAGAAGCCATTACCACCCAAGTGTGCGTGCACGCATCTCTGTGGTATACAGAGGAGATGCTGAAGTGGCTCATATCTGCCTGACGTAGAGACCAGGATAGAGTAGAGGGCTTTGTATCCGATGGAGGCAAGAAGTGGGCACAGGGGTGGCATCTAGGAATTGGAGAGATCCCCGACTCCACCTTAGCCTAAATGAAGTCTATACTGATAAATACTCAAGGGTTGTCTTTTACAGGGGGCTGGGGAGTTCTTTTTGAAAGGAGTGCATGAGTGAGGGCAGAAAAGGTCAGAGCAGGTGAGTGGTTGTTAGGTGGCTTGGGGTGACTTGCATCCATCGTGCTCTTGTCTGGCAAGTCCTCCTCATCCAATTCAAGTTCCACATAGTGACTTGTCTTTCCATAGGGAAGGGATTGGGAGTGCAGTCCTTGTCACCTCAGGCTCTGGTCAGGCTGCAAAGGGCTCCCTGTTCAGGCTCCTTCTGGTTGGTTGTTTTTGTCCATTTCTCTCTCTGCACCTCTTACCTCGGATCAGAAAGCAAGCCCAGGCAGGTGCAGGACAGCTCTCTGCTTGGCGTTGCCCAATCTAACCAGGGAGGCTGGCCGGTCCCCGTTTGTCCATGAGAGCCGAGGGCCAGCATGTGTCAGTATGAACTCAGGAATAGAAACTCGAGGCCTTTAAAATAAGAGGGAGAAAAATCCGCAATGCATACCTGTAACCCCCTGGAACCCAAGTGCCAGAATTAATTCCTAGATGCTGCTTCTGTTTGAACAAAAAGTCACTGCTTTTACACTTGAAAAAACACACTCGAAAAATGTTCAACTCCATGAAAACTGTTTTTCGACTTTAAGAACTTATTTGGTGTTTTTACTGTTTCCTTTGACTGCCATTCCACCAGTAAATCATTGGTTGATTTGCATTGCACACTGGGGCTGGGGCAGGGGGTGCAGGGGTCCTTACACAGAGCCAGACTTGGGCTCGCTCAGGAACGGGGCGGGAATGTGAAAGTCATTGCGGTTCCTGGGGCACCAGGGTGCGGGGGAGGGGACTTTCTCACCTTCCTGACCTGCTCTTGGCAGCACCTGTCGCCAGCCCGGCACAGAGCCAGGCCTTGCTCATGCACTTTTCATCACTGTCCGGTGGCAGGTGGGAAAGGGAGACAAAACCAGACCTGTTTCCTCCCCCCATTTTTTCCAAATTTCAATGTGCCAAATCTTTAAAACTTTGCAGATACAAATCTTGAAATTTCATTAATCAGAACTTGTTCATGTAAACAGTTTGCTTTTTTGACTATAGGAAAAACAGTAGAGATCTCTTAAGAGCATCCAGCATGGCTGAGCTCCCCCTTTTTTTTTTGAGGACAGCTAGAAGTGTAATAGAAACGACTCCCCAGGTCCCTCCAACCCAGTCTTCAAGCTGCACTGCATTAAACCAGCTCGCTAGCTAACACAGGGAAATACTGCACCCTAGTCCTCCATGGGCCAAGAAACTTCCAGAAGCATTAAAACATAGTTGAAGTACATCACTTCTCACCATGCGGGTAGTCAGTTGGCTATTTGTCCCTTGTGTTTTATTTATTCCATAATTATGTTTGTACTGTTTGTTTTGTAAAGGGTAATGAAACATACATTTTAATTTTGCTTAAAAAATTTGACCCAATCTTTCAAGAACTGTTTATTTTTCATTGGGGGGAGGGGATTAATCAGTTAATTTGTTTTGAAATATCTGGGTGTTCTTTGAGTTAAAAAATTGTGAGGCAGGGATTTGTGAGTGAGACATTCACATGTGAAAGATTACTTCACTAGTTATCCGCTTCAGCAGAATAAAGTGTGTATATGTACATAGATGTAAGTAATCGACTCCATTGTGCAGTGCCTTTTAGATGTTCCACTTTCTATAAAGTCTTCAGATTTTTGCATATATATTATATATATATATATGATGTAATGTTATAGAAATATATGTATAATATACATATTTTTTCCAGGGGTATCTGATAGCTCTGTATTTTGTTATGGAAGTTGAAAGAAAAAAAGTATTTTACCTCAGAAATTAAAGTTAAATAAAAAAATACTTTTAAGTAATGTTTACAGGGTGTTGATGGTGTTGACATGCTGCTCCAGGATGGTCATGGCGGAGAATTTGCCAAGCCTGTGCCCACTCACCCCACCCCACCCACCCTATGTCCTGTTGCACAGGTGCCAGCACAGTGAGGAAACAGGTCTCCTGATAGCTTTGGGGGACTGTCCACATCCTGGCGTCAGTGGCCGCTGCTAGATAAAGGACAGCTGAAGCCAGGGACACGAGTGCGTGGGGGAAATTACCTCAAGATTGTTCTGAGGCTTAAGGGTACACGGCAGAGGGGTGCCAGCCAGGCTCAGTTGGTAGAGCACAGGGCTCTTGATATCACGGTCGTGAGTTAAAGCCCCGCATTGGGCACAGAGTTTACTTTAGAATTAAAAACTTAGAAATAAAACCGTACGTGACAAAGCCAGACCCGATAGGCCATGCTTTGTATGGTTCTGTTTAGGAAATGACCAGAACTGGCAAGTCTGTGGAGACAGAACCTAAACCCAGCGATTGCTGAGGAGAGCAGGGCTGCTGATGGGCCATGTGTTGTTCTTGGAGGGATGGGTATGTTCTGCAGTTCGTGCTGATAAAAACCACTGAGTCACAATTACTCTGAAAGGGTGAATTCTATCTCAATAAAGGTGGTTTTGTGTGGTATGTGACAAGCCAGTACTAGGGAAGCCAGTAGAGGATAGGAATCCAGAGGGACCCTGGGGGGGGGTCCTCACTGTGATGTCAAATGCCCCCCAACCCAGCCTAGGAAAGATGGTGCCAGGCTGTCATTTCGTTTCACCGCCTAAGGTCCCCACGTTTGTAGAATCACAGCCCAGATGTTCAGTTTGACTCCTCTTGAGGGGTCCTGTGAGTTCAGAAAGTCTGGGATCAATGTGGGGTGAAGCTGGAGAGGCAACCTAGGGCAGATCACAGAAGGTTTAGGAGATTCCCAGGGAAGGCATATTTACTCTGCTAGCAGTGGCTGGCCCCAGAACTTTACAAGAACTTGGGCTAGCTGGTGAGGAGCATGGCAGTCACAGCCTCGGGGGCCACCCAGGCTGTTAAGATCGCTGCTTGAGTACAAATGAAGTGACAGACTGGGTGAGTCTCTGAAGCCACCCAAGTCAAGCTGGGAGTGAGCTCAAATGCAGACAGACCTCCGTGCCTGGAGTCCTCCCCAATCCCCACCCACCCACCCACCCCAGCCTCTCACTGCTGGAAGCAAAATGAGACAGATGGGTTAGGAACAAAATTGGGCCTTAGTTTTGAGACCAAGCTGCAAGCATCTGGCTGTGCCACCTTGTGTGGTGACGATGTAGGTGCCAGGCAGGGAGCAGGGGGGTGCACAAGGAAAGCAGGAGGGGAGAAGGTAGGCTCAGCCCCTCAGGCGCCTGGCTGGCTACTAGCCTGCGGCCTCCAGGTTACCCGCACACAGCCTGTGCTGCAGGGGGAGCAATGACCCTGCGGCAGGTGCCGTTTACCCCCATTTTACGGAGCAGACTGGGTCACAGCTGGTCACTGGTGTGGTTGGGGTGCAAGGCCCAGTACCTGTGCTCTGCATGAGGCCAGGCCGCTGACCTGCTCTGGCCCACTGCCCAGAACGCCCTCCGTCCCTCGCCTCTACCTGGCCTGTTACATCTTTTCTAGAACAAGGCTCAGATGGCAAGGCCAGGCTTGTCGCGACCCCCCCGGCGGGTTCTGCCCCGGTGCCCACCTGGACCTCAGCACCACCACCTTCATGCTGCTGGTGCCCTGCTGCTCCAGCTGCTCAGGGGCCACTCAGGAAGCCGAGAGCCTGAGTGTCCAGCACGATGCTGATGCCTGAGGGCACCAAGCAGCCGTGTGTGGGGTGGATGGGTGACGAGAAGCAAAGTGGGTTTGGTGGGTGGGGTCGGGATGCAGGATTGGAGTTGGACAAAGAGACTGGGGGGCAGTGGCCCTCCTGTATCCAGCATCTGTGGCAAGCTCACATGCCATGTGCTGAAGGCACTGATCCCTGGCCCCCTGCCTCCCGCACCACTGCTGCACCTGCAGTTTCCCTCCCACCGCCACCTTCATGCTGTCTCCCTCCTGGGGCCACGCTCCCTCTTCGCTGCACACCTGCCCCTGCCCCCAGGCACACGCAGCCTGTGCTCCCTATCAGTGTCCACACGGAGATGTGGGCAGGAGGGAAATGAACCAACACCCCTCCCACTAAGGGTGCTCCTAGACAGCCCCTTTGGGGTCTCTCCCGTCCTGCCCCCGGCTGGGATCTACCTACGTGGTCCAGTTTCGCTCACCTGCCCCTGGACCGGCCAAAAAAACGTTTTTAAAGTGTGTGCAAGGGTGCCTAAGTGACTCTGTCGATGAAGCGCCTGCCTTCAGCTCAGGTCATGACCTCAGGGTCCTAGGATTGAGCCCCAGGTCAGGTCCCCTGCTCAGTGGGGAGTCTGCTTCTCCCTCCTGCCCCTCTCCCAGCTCAGGCTGCCTCATTCTCCAATGGATAAATACAATCTTTACTTTTTATTTATTTATTTTAAAAGATTTTATTTATCCATGAGAGACACAGAGAGAGGCAGAGACACAGGCAGAGGGAGAAGCAGGCTCCAAGCAGGGAGCCCGATGCAGGACTCGATCCCGGGTCTCCGGGATCACGACCCGGCCCAAAGGCCGAAGGCAGGCACCAAACCGCTGAGCCACCAGGGCTGCCCAAATTCTTTAAAAAATAAAAAATAAATTAAAAAAAAAATAGGGATGCCTGGGTGGCTCAGTGGTTGACATCTGCCTTTGGCTCAGGTCATTATCCTGGGGTCCTGGATCAAGTTCCACATTGAGCTCCCTGTGAGGAGCCTGCTTCTCCCTCTGCCTGTGTGTCTGTCTCTCTGTCTCTCATGAATAAATAAATAAAATCTTTTTAAAAATAAAATAATAAAAAATACAAATAATAAAGGATGTGCAATAAGTCAGCTGAAAACCCCCAAGAAGGCCTGCTGTCTAGATAGCCGCTCACTCCAGCTCCTCCTCCCTAGTCAGGCTCCAGGGCCCTTGTCCCAGCAGAGGGTGTGCTGACACTCTGAGGAGAGGAGAGAAGCTGGCGCTAGCCTTGCTCCCACCGTCCCACCTCTGCCATTTCACTGGCTAGGAGATTACAGAGCCTCTCTGTGTCTCAACCTCCCTATTTTATGGGGTGGTTGTGGAGATGAAATGATGCACATAAAGCACTTAGTACTCAGAATCTTTTTAAGTTTTTTTTTTAAGATTTTATTTGACACACAGAGAGCACACAAGCAGAAGCAGGGGCAGAGGGAGAAGCAGACCCCCGCTGAGCAGGGAGCCTGATGCGGACTCAATCCTAGGACCCCAGGATCATGACCTGAGCTGGAAGCAGATGCTTCACCAACTAGGTGACCCAATTGGATGACCAAGCCACTCAGATGCCCCTAAAAATTTCATTTTAAGTCATCTCTACATCCACCATGTGGCTCAAAGTTGCAACCCCAAGGTCAAGAGTCACACACTCCCCCAACCAACTCGGCCAGCCAGGTGCCCCTCAAAATTATTTTTTCGGTGGACTGACAGGATGTTTCTCTGAGGTCCACTCTGTCAGCTTGTTCCTGTGCTGCTGGGCTTCGTGCCTCCGCCTCCCTCTCTTGCCCCTCTCAAGAGGGCACCGAGATGCTAGGATATCTGTTTCACAGCAGACAGAAATGAGGCCCAGGGTGGGTGACATGTCCAACTGATTCAAACCAGCCTCCTGACTCCGAGTCCCTTGCTTTCCCCATTCATGGCCCTTGGGCCTCAGAGGCAAGAGCGAAGCACCTGTAAGGATCAGATGCACAGAACTGGGAGCAGTGGGGGGCCCCTAGCCTTGATGTGTCAACGCTGTCGGGCCCCATGTCCACTCCGGAGCCCAAGAGGGGAAGCTGGCCTCTGCCACAGGCCCAGGGAGGGGCCCTAGCTCTGGTCAAACAGGCTGCAGGGACCGGGCTGACTGCTGACCTGAGAGGGATAAAGATCAGAGATTAGAGCCTGCCCCAGTGCAGACCAGCCCCCCCCAGGAGGGGTCCCCAGGGGCTCTGAACCCCCAGGGGGCGGTGGCCTCCAGGATCTGGGGATGAGGTCTAGGCAGGTGACAGGGCGGGCAGCCCAAGCAGTGGGCTGAGCCTGGGAACCCAAGAAGCTGCAGGGCCTTGCCTCAGCTGGCAGACGCTGGCCCCAGTCAGACATCAGCCCAGATGCTGTTCTGCAACAGCCTCAGTCCCAGAGTGGAGGCCCACCTCTGGCCTCTACCTGCAGTCTTGCAGGGACCTCACGGAGGGGGGGTTGCTGCGGAGGCAAGAGGATGGAGGGACCCCTCCTTCCAGGGGGCAGAGATCAGCCTTGAACTGGTTGGCGGGGGCGGACCCCTTGTTCTGGTATGCCCTTAAGACTTCCTTGCCCCACCCCACCCCCATTCCTCAGGGAGGGCAACCGGCTTAATCTGCTGTTTGGAGGGCATCTTCTTTGTATGGTTTTGTCTTCTTAGCAACTGATGGGAAGGAGAGGGGAGGGGAAACTGAGTCCTGTGTGTTGTCGGCTAGCCAGCTGCTTCCACCCCCATGTTGAAAGTACTCACCTTGAGCTCACTCACCCCGATGCACCCTCTGCAGCGGGCGCTGTTACTGCCCCCATTCTGCAGATGAAGAGAAGGCCAAGGAAGGTCAACACCACTAGTGAGCAGGTATGTAGCCAAACCAGGCCCCAGCCCGAGTTCCTGAATTCCCCAGCACCTCCCTGCCTCTCAGCTACCAGAGAGAGTACTACCCAGACCTGGGACAGCACCCCCAACCCACCCCCCACCCCCACCTCAGGAAGGCAGCAGGAGTCTCAGTGGCTGGAAAGAGGCCCCTGAATTCCCTTAGGGCACCTTGTGGAGTCAGGAAGCAAGAACCTGGGGAGGGGGTGCTCTGCGGGGATAGCCTCCAGGCCACACGCAGTGCCTATAGACGCTTTCCAGGGACTCACACTGCCTTAGGGACAAACATGCCCACGTAATGCATTG